CTGTTAGAATGTAGGATTATATACTACTAGTAGAATGTAAAATGACTTAATACTGTTAGAATGTAAGAGTATATACTACTAGTAGAATGTAAAATGACTTAATACTGTTAGAATGTAAAATGACTTAATACTGTCAGAATGTAAGATTATATACTACTAGTAGAATGTAAAATTGCTTAATACTGTTAGAATGTAGGATTATATACTACTAGTAGAATGTAAAATGACTTAATACTGTTAGAATGTAAGATTATATACTACTAGTAGAATGTAAAATGACTTAATACTGTTAGAATGTAAAATGACTTAATACTGTCAGAATGTAAGATTATATACTACTAGTAGAATGTAAAATTACTTGCTAATATAGTATATAAAGTTATATAGTATTGATATGATGTAAAACGTAAAAATTACTGCTATTGTTAACATTTAAAAATCACAACTGTTGTTAACATGTAATAATTACTTACTGACGTTAGTATATAAAAATTATATACTGTTGTAAAAAAAAATGTAATATAGTGTACTAGTGTATGAAATATGAATTACACACTAACATTAGAAAATCAAAGTTACTACTATTAGAATATAACTGCTTGGTCTACTTCCTTTTTATCTTTTAATGTGTATTTTCTTAGTTACTTCACATAGAAACTTATTGATACCAAATGACATTCTGATTTGTTCCTTTATTACAGTATGGTACAGTTTAGTTGAAGTTTAACTTACTAGGTAAGGTAGGGATTGAAAAACGAAAGGTAAACTTACACACTGTTGATTTGAAAATGTTATCTGTAGATAAAGTTATATAGAACTATATATGCTTTCTGTACAGGATAGTGTGGAATACCTACTCCATTCTTTTGACATGTAAATTATTATTTTCATGTGATTAGACTACTGATTTAAAACAACTTAAGATGGTAGTTTGTAAATAAGTTTATTTGTTAAAATCATGTGATTTCTAACAATATAAGATAATTAGGCTGCAGTGATTTGTAACAGTACAACCATGCATGCGGCATAATGATTGTCTTAAGTGGAAGAACTTGCTGACCAAGGTTAAATTTTTCAATCTCTAGATTGTTGTCCAGCTGAATCAAGCTACAAAAGAAATGAACTGTTTAGAGGTTACAGTAAGAAGTACAGGAAGTACTCATATAATGAAGACAGAAGACCTTTATGTCCAGTTTGTTTACAGTCTTTTTTTGACACAAGTAACTTAAGGAGACATTTAGACAAGCATAATCCCCAACGATCGTTTTTTTCCTGCAGTCTGTGTTCAAGGAGTTTTGTGCGCAAGAACTACCTTAAAGTGCACAAGAAGCGAGTGCACAAATTATGATGTTGTGTGAAGGGATTTTCCCAATTATATACATCATTAAAAATGATTTATGTAAAAAAGTGAAGCTGTATCTCATCATATGTTAACATGTACTTGTGTTTTTTTAAATTAATCTTCAGGCTAGTGCAGCATTAGATTATAAGTAGAGTTAAAACAGTACTTTGAACAGTTTGTATTAGCAGACTTGGTTCTCATTTTCAAGATGGTTATTTGAACTACACATATTGGCTGTTGGGATAGAGAACTTAACTTTACATTTTAATCCTCCAGCTGGCCACTTGACCACAAATAAAAGTTGCCCATACTATTGAAGTCTGAAATGGTGCTCCTGTGTACAGGTTGGAATGATTTAGAAGTTGCCATCTCTTTTACTGTGTAATAATAATGATCACTGGTATGGGTAACCCAAGATTCACAATACTGCAATAGATTGTATTGGCCAATTCAGTGTATGCCTGTTTAGTAAAGAAGTCTTTTTTTCTGTCTACAACAGCATAAACTGTTAAACTAAGGTTTTGAGGCAAGACAATTGACATAATTACTAAGTTAGAAAGTAGCAATATTCTTTGTTGTTATTTTATTGTTAAAGCTTGCAGGAAGTAACTATTCTTTGTTATTTTATTGTTAAAGCTTGCAGGAAGTAACTATTCATTGTTATTTTATTGTTAAATCTTGCAGGAAGTAACTATTCATTGTTATTTTATTTTTAAAGCTTGCAGGAAGTAACAATTCATTGTTGTTATTTTATTGTTAAAGCTTGCAGGAAGCAACCATTCTTTGTTATTATTTTATTGCTCAAACTTACAGGAAGTAAATATTCCTTGTTGTTATTTTATTGTTAAAGCTTGCATTAAGTAACTATTCTTTGTTGTTATTTTATTGTTAAAGCTTGCAGGAAGTAACTATTCTTTGTTGTTATTTTATTGTTAAAGTTTGCAGGAAGTAACTATTCTTGGTTGTTATTTTTTTTTTGTTAAACCTTGCAGGAAGTAACTATTCTTGGTTGTTATTTTATTGTTAAAGTTTGCAGGAAGTAATTATTGATTGTATATAAATAAAATATTTTCACTTGATGTAAAAGGAAAACATTGATACATCATATTTAATAGCTTAAACTTTATAGAAAAGTAATACTAAGAACATGTAAGATTAATCCGTGGTTATCGGGCATGCTCGAGGTTTTGTAATCTGAGTGTCAATTTGTTTAATTTTTTTTTCTCCTTGTCCAATCAGTGATGAAAATACTGTTTGGACTAAAAACTGATTAGAATGTGGTTAACGTTTTTCAGCTACATAAACATTTCTCTTCATTCAGTGATGAACCCTTCACATGTAACATGAAAAGTGGAAAAATAGCATGATCACGTGACAATATAAATGCACTTATTATTATGAAGTGCATTTAATGTTCTTATTAAGGAAACATTTGGTGTCTGTAGGGTAATTTGTACTTTTCTCAAAAAAAAATATTTTTTTGTTAAATGAGTTTTCATTTTTGTTATATACAGCTATGTAAAGTACATATTTTAAATTTCTGGAGAAAAAAAAAGTTCTTTATTACAGTCTTGTCCTGAATTTTGTTGTGTTTCAATCTTGGATTATTTTCTTTTGAATCATTATGAAACTGTAGCAGAAGATATAATCCATGTTAAGTGTAGATCTTCTTAACTTGAATAAAGAATTCCCAACTTTACGGAAGAGGTCAGTTTGTTTCTCCATTTATACTACATAATTAGATATTAATGATGATCCAGTTATTTTGTGGTAATGAAAAACTAACAGACTTTATACCCTTACAGAACTAGACTAAGTATATATATTTCAAAATTTTCCATACAGATATTTAGTTAACATCTTTGCAAACGTGTATATAATGTGTAAGTTGCTCAGTTTTAATGGTTATTAAATATTAAGAACAAATGATCACAGAACAGATTGATTTTTATATTTCAACTTTTTGAAAAACCCTAGATCATCCAGCTGCCCACTTGACCACAAATAAAAGTTGCCCATACTATTGAAGTCTGAAATGGTACTCCTGTGTACAGGTTGGAATGATTTAGAAGTTACCATCTCTTTTACTGTGTAATAATAATGATGATCACTGGTATGGGTAACCCAAGATTCACAATACTTGGACAATTCAGTGTATGCCTGTTTAGTGAAGAAGTCTTTTTTTCTGTCTACAACAGCATAAACTGCTAAACTAATGTTTTGAGGCAAGTCAATTGACATAATTACTAAGTTAGAAAGTAGCAATATTCTTTGTTGTTTTTTTATTGCTAAAGCTTGCAGGAAGTAACTATTCTTGGTTGTTATTTTATTGTTAAAGCTTGCAGGAAGTAACTATTCATTGTTGTTATTTTATTTTTAAAGTTTGCAGGAAGCAACTATTCTTTGTTATTTTATTGCTAAAGCTTGCAGGAAGTAACTATTCTTTGTTGTTATTTTATTGTTAAAGTTTGCAGGAAATAACAATTCTTTGTTGTTATTTTATTGTTGAAGCTTACAGGAAGTAACTATTCTTGGTTGTTATTTTATTGTTTAAGCTTGCTGTAAGTAACCGTAACTTTTTGAAGTTCTTATATTGTGGACTTTAGTCTTACCTGGTGGTCAATTCACATGTGTGAATGTCACAAAATTTAGGTTGTAATGATATTTATATGGTTTTTATGAAGATCTTACATTTTACATTGGTTATAGTAATTGAAACTTTATTGCAACCATTAGTTTAATTATGACATTAGAAAACATTGTTAGTTGTACAGCATGTCTGTTGTAAGTTATAAAAAAAGATCAATGTGAAATATGAAATTATTATTGATTGTTAATTTTGTTTCATGTTCTAAACTGTTCACACAAAAGTATGTGCCAATTTATGAAATATTATTGGTTTCAATACACTGTGCTAGCTTAACAGCTATCGTTCAAGGTTTCTATATGTTGCTGAAGATATTTAGTCGTACTAACTCTACAGTAAGGTTCCATTGTTCTGTAGTCATGTGTTAATATAGGTTAAATGATACTAAGTCATAATAACACTACATTAAGTTCCTTTTGTCCTATGGTTATGTGTGAATATAGATTAAAAGATACGGAATCATACTAACACTACATTAAGGTCCTGTTGTCCTTTAGTCACTTGTTAATATAGATTAAAAGATACTAATTCAAACTAATACTACATTAAGGTCCTGCTATCCTTTAGTCATGTGTCAACATAGATTAAATGATACTGAGTCATAATAACACTACATTATGGTCCTGTTGCCCTTTAGTCATGTGTTAATATTGGTTAAACGATACTAAGTCATAATAACAATACATTAAGTTCCTCAGGGTGTATACAGTCAGGGTAAAAATGAGCAAAACACCTAATGTCGGAATTTTTTGTCTCTTTTTTTTTTTTCAGCCAGTAATCACTAACAGAAATAATTAGTGATATTATGCTGTTAATGTAGTGTGTTGGACTGGAGTTTGTCACCAGTTAGTGATATTATGCTGTTAACACTAATGTGTTGTGCTGGTGTTTGTCACCATTTAGTGATATTATGCCGTTAACTTTGGTATTTATTGTGGCATAAATTTTGATGAGGAAGCATGATTACCAAGAATGGTTTCCCATGAACAGCAGTTTCTGTTTACCCTTATTTTTACTTACTTAAACATCCCAAAGGATAAACAGTTATTTTCATAAACTTTATGTGTAAAATTAATAAAATTGTTATTGTCATTTAAGTAATTAAACAAAATCAGTTAAATTCTCTTTATAATGCTACCATATCACAAAACATGTCATAAAAATACCTTAAAGAAATTTATTGTGTCGTTTCAGTTTTTCTTAATGTTTTGATTTCCAAACTGTCCATTTGTAAATCAAATGTAATGGAGATAAAGGAGAACTCATAGCTAAACCTTCATTTTAATTTGAAAAACATTAATTTTTGACACATACTTCAAAAAGGTTAACCATACCAGTCATTTCTCAAACTGAATTCTCATTTTCTTTGAATTATTCTGAAAACATCCAATGAATTTTCCCACGGGTATTTTAGTGAATTATGAAATAACATTAAAAGACACTAAAATACTGTTATGATCTAGTGCTATATGTTTAAGTCTTTCAAAAAAAATTTTAACTGCATATTTATTTTTATCCATTAAAATGGAAAACGTTTTTAATATGAATTTTGCTACATTGTACATGGAACTCATAATATTAATTACCTATGACTGTGTCCAGCCTTTTGAGCTTTAGGCAAGGAATATAATCTAGGTAACATAAAGGAATCTAGCAAGAAAAGCATGGTTATCAGTATTCAATGATGAGGAATCCACTTTGAGACTAATAATGCTTGGAGATGGCTTGAATGGGTAATGAAGAAAAACTTTAATATAAGTTTAACATAACAGCAAATGTACAACATTTCAACAAGGTTTTGTCATCATCAGGTACAAATAGTTTACACTGACACAGATATATTATATATACAGTATGGAACAAAGAGGTCACATGACCAGATAATGTTGCACGACTTAGAAGAGATATCTTGGCACCCCAAGGTGTTGGTTTA